TCTAAACTAAATACAGTACTATGAATCAAGGCACGAAAATGTTCTGGTTTTAGTAATACGATATCGGAATTGTCCTCTTTCCCTGCATTGTGCCTCTTTTGGCGAGATAGTCCGTCGGCTTTGCCATTCGATTTACCGGGCTTGTGATGTAACGAGTATTGATATTCAGCCAGCTCGGTTACCCATCGGGCTTGTCGTCGGTTGAGCTTCTGTGGCTTCCGGAAGTATTCTAAATTCTTGTGATCCGTCCATATTTCAAACGGATGTACGGCGCCCATGAGGTACTGACGCCATTCATCAAGACTAGTCATGATTGCGAGAAGTTCCTTATCGTAAATCTTGTAATTCCTTTCGGCAGCTGTCATGGCTTTTGACAGATAAGCAACAGGCTTCCATTTGCCATCTTGCTTCTGGGCTAATTCCGCTCCTATGGCGAAGTCCGAGGTGTCGCATTCTATTCGGTATGGGTCGTTGTCATTAGGTATGGCCAGTACCGGTGCTGTACAGAGGGCCTCCTTTAGGCTCGTGAAGGCTACTTCTTGTTTGACGGTTCATTCGAAAGTAGCGTTGCCCGTTAGTGAACTGAGTGGCTTTGCTATTTTGCCGTAATCTCGGATGAATCTTCGGTAGAAGTTGGTAAACCCGAGAAATGCCTGAATGTCTCGTTTACTTTCGGGCCGTGGCCAATTGACAACTCCTTCTATTTTGACGGGGTCCATGTGAACAACTCCTTTTCCCACTATCATTCCGAGGTATTCTATCTTGGCTTTCTCGAACTCGCACTTTTCCGGTTTCAGATAAAGTTTGTGTTCCCTTAAGATCTGAAGAACTTGCCGCGTGATCCGACGGTGTTCTTTTAAATCTTGAGTAAAGATCATGATGTCGTCTAGATAGACTACCACGTGTCCTTGACTAATGAGATCTCGGAATATGTCGTTCATCATGGTTTGGAATGTAGCTGGTGAATTGGTGAGACCAAAGAACATGACAAGCGGCTCGAACAGTCCTCGATTCGTTAGGAATGCTGCCTTCTCTTTGTCTCCTTCTTTGATGCGGATGTTGTTGTATCCCCATCAGACGTCTAATTTCGTAAAATACCGCGCCTGCTTCAACTTGTCTACTAGTTCCTGTATCAAAGGAAGTGGGTAGCGGTTTTTTATCGTTAGCTCATTCAGCTTTCGATAGTCTTGTACGGGTCGAAGTCGTCCATCTTTTTTCTTGACGAAGAAGAAAGGTGAAGCCCACGGAGATTTCGATGGTCTGATTCTCCCAGTTCGGAGGTTCTCTTCTATGAACTCATCAAGTTCTTTTTGTTCGTTTACAGAAATAGGGTAAACTTTGCAACTGATCGGTTGCGCGCCTGGTGTAAGTTCGATCGCATGGTCCCATGGTCGTCTTTGCGGTAAAGAATCAAAATCCTCTTTGCTAAATACGTCGGAGTAGTCGTGATAGTGACTCGGGACAGTATTTTCAAAGGTCTTGGCTTCGTGTTTCAGGCTTTCTTTGATCGCTAGATCAGTGGCTGTGGTGCGAATGCGTGCTGTTCCCGTCGCGAAGTACGTTTCATGGTCTAAAATGAAGATTCTATCCCCTTCTTCTAGGCGAGCCTCCGGATCGCTGGGCTCCTCATGATCGGCATCAATATCAATTAATCGGGCTGCGTATTTGCAGGTAATTGGGCACCGATCAAACTGAATGATTTGTTTTTGCCAATCGATAGACGGGTTATGAATCTGTAACCACTCATAACCAAGGAAGATTGGAGTCTTTCCTAGATTGGTAACTGCGAAAGGAAGGCGCTCTACATGGTTCTGAACTTCCACCCTTAATTCAACGAAATCTGTGATAGCGCCGCCGGCATTATGCGTGCCATCTGCATTATAGACAGGGACCGGTGATGGCAGTTTCTTTGTAGCGATGTTGTTATCGCGGACAAACTGCGCATCAATTGAAGATCCAGTACATCCTGTGTCTAATAGCGCTTTGACTGATAAGCGCTGCTGCGTGTCCAGGGTGGTTATGATCATTGGGACGTCCATCTGTGTCCCCTTCCTTCCTCGGATAAACCGGGGTTGCTTTCTTAATTCATTTAAGAAGTCTATGGCTTCTTCTTCTTTCATCTGCCTGATTTGGTTCATACAGGCTTCGGAGGCATCGACACTCTTCTTTGAGTGTACCCATTCAGTCAGCAATCTAAGCGCTGAGGCTTCTTTGCTGATTATCCATTGGCGGATCCAAGCCGCTGTCCAAGGTGTGTGGCGCTGCCATTGCGTAGATTCGGTCTGATGTTCTGGTGTAGACAATAATTTTTTATTTGGGGGAATTAAGCAAGAGGGTTGTGCCTCTCCGCGCCGTTCTACGGACGCCCCTTTTTCTGGTATATACGTTGCTACTCCAAACCAAGAACACAGATAATTCGTAAAATTACGCTCAGTCAACTCGGCTACGCGCCCGGCTGACCACTTGCAAAACCCTTCATGGCCGCACGAATTTCTTCGTGAATTGCCTTCTTCCAGTCGAATGGTTCTGCCGTCGCGGCAGGAGCTTCGTTCAGTGATGCGAGGGGTGTGAACGTGTTGGTGGTGGGAACTGCCGGGGTTTCCGCGGCTCGTACTTGTTGAGCTTGTTGCCGATTAGGGCAATTTCGTGATATGTGACCCTGTTGGCCACATCGGAAACAAAGACCCTGGCGTCGCGCTTGATCCAAATCCATCGGTTGTCCCCTTCCGCCGAATGTGACACCGGTTCCGTCGCGCCGTGTTTGGACTGGCGCAGTAGCAGTTGCTGGTGCGGGTGCATTTTGCGCTTGTGGTGTGCTTTGCGCCTGCTGCTGTCTTGGTTGAAACTCCCTGTCGTTGGGACTGAGGGTTTCTTCGGCGATACTGTTGTTGATTCAGGTCGATGCGCGCGACCCGTTGCTTTTAAAGTGCATATGTGGCGGGGAGTTCTTCCGATGAATTGTACAGAAGTCAAATGATGTCGGCCCGGAGTGCCTTCTCAAGAAGCGACTTGAGTTCCTGGAAGTGTGCTTCGAAATCGTGAATGTTTGCCTGGAAGGCACATAACTCGAATTTTGAGAAGAATTCCTGTGCCGACAACGTTCCCATCTGCATTGCCTGGAGCCGATCGTATGCTTCGGCTTGCTCATCGATTAAGAAGTGCCTGTCCAGGTCTTCCCACAGTGTCTTGGTGGTCTGTATTACGGAGTCTTCGTCCACGTCGTATTTTTTCATGAACGTAGTGACATATTCGCCCGCGTGTCCACCCTTCATGTAGGACAGAATCATTAGGACTCTGTCAAACTGCTCTGGTAGCCGCTTCCTCTGCGTAACTACATAGAGTTTCATTTGGGTCTTCCAAGCAATGTACTTGGATTTCGTGCCGTCGAAGGCGTCTGGTTTCATTGCGCTTCCATTGAGGAGCGCGGCACTATCTTGATTCTCGGCCATCGCGCCGGGATCAGATGGAGATGAAGGTGGAGTGGGAGAGCGTCGGGAAGGTGGTTCCGAGGCTTCTGAGTCTTCTACTGCTTCTTCTACGGGATTTGGCGGGCCCTCTGGTGGTGCTTCAGATTCTCCGAGGGCGATTGAGCGGAGATGGTCAGTGACCGATTCGAGAGTATCTCGTCTGGTTCTGGGTTCTGAACCGGATGCTACGGGTTGCAAGACTGCGAGGGATTCTGACGGTGCTCCTGTGGGAACTCTTTGTAGCAATTCTCCACGTAATCCTTCTCTACACCGGAAACAACGAGTACTATTATCTGAAGAGTGTGGACACGGTTGTTGCACGCAGTATCGTACGTTATCGCCGTGTAGGTAGATGGATGTTCCCTCTAGTTCTCGGTGTACGTGTCCTCTACAGTCACAGGAGGGCGTGGTCATAGGGTGTTGGGTCCGTGAAGCTGGTTGCAGCAAACCCTGGGACTAATCGTGTTGTAACGACCAGATCAGGGGTAGATTTTGCCAAAGATGGAAACTTCTGAATAAGAACCGAAACGCTAATTGTAATACAGTTCTAGAGATACTGTAGCAGCCCAAAGAGCAATTGTGTCTCTTCGGTCCGACGCCCTCAAAGGGATCGTCGATCTAACTGCTACCGCTTTTCCGACGCCCGGCCGCAACCGGTTGCCACGTCGTACTCAGGAATATCCGCTTGCGCTGCGCAAAGCGTTTAACACCACCTATGGTAGGGTAGTGTACGATTCTAATGGGACGGAGCTCTGTCTAGCTGCCTAAGAGCTAGTGATTACAGAGGTGGCTTCGGGGATGTGGTATGGTAAAAGTTTGTGCAAGTGCACGGAAAAGGGTTCCAGGGGTCCGGGTCTTGATGCGGTAGGGTTAGGAGTTAGGGTGAGAGTCGGATGTGCGTATGGGGTGGATCGTCGTGTGGAGATGGGTGATGGTTGGTGTGGGAGTGACGAGGATTGTCGTAGGGCAGTTGGTGGAGACTCGAGCTAATGTCAGCAACTAACAATCCAACTGGACTGAGCTACGACAAAGCTGAGGAGACAGACGAGAGGAAAGTGAGTGAGGAAAGACCAGCTCGAGTCTGGCTTGTTATTGAGCAGTACAAGCTCCTTATATACATGTCAGACTGAATACCTAGAATATCTTACGAATATATAGAGGTGTATAGAAAGTGAAAGAATACCATGGAATCCGGGAGAACCATCCGGATTGTGTAATATTCATGACAGGTTTCCCGTAGTACAATAGTTTCATGATAATCAATCCGCTCGAGCTATAGAAACAGGGTGTCCTCGCTGTGAATATATGATACACTTATACATTTAAGCAGCGTGTATACATATCCAAGAAAGTATAAACGTAATCAAATTAGCCCTCGTCATCAGACAGGTGCAAAGCCCGGTTCTTCTCCATCTTCATGCGGCCCATCGCCCACCTCCTCTTCGTCGCTCTCCTGGTCCTGGCCCTCTTCCTCTTCCTCTGTCGATTCGTCTTCGTCGGTGTCAGCGGCCGCATCCTCCTCGTCCTCCGCACACGAGTCGCACTCAACTTTCTCGTTTTCCTCGCACGCAAGCTCTTCCACAAGCGCCTCGAGACGCGGTAGGTCGCGCTCGATCCCGTCCCTCCTGAACACATTGTTTGCAGCCGATAGCGAGAGCATCTTGATGCCCTTGCCGAACCGCTTCCTGAAGTCGAGGATCTGGATAAGCTCCAGCATGAGGGAGTTAAGACGCGTCCGCCGCTTCCAGCGTATGGTGTGGCATTTGTTCCACGTAAATCCGGCAAGATCAAGCGATTCCAGCGCTGGAAACGCTGTCGCATCCCCGAGGACCGAGAACAGCGTGCGGAGCGTGATCTCATTGCTCATGATGTCCAGCCGTCGGAGCTCGGGCATGACAGAGAAGTAGTGCCAAACACGACCCACGACCGGAATGTCGGTGAGTGTGATAGTGTGGATATCGGAGGAGGGAAAATGCATCATGTATGAGAGGAGGATATCGTCGGGGTTACCCTGAAGGCCCACGAGGAG